CCATATCAACTTATGTAGCCCATGAACTCTACTTAATTTAGATCACTTAATTGAGTCCATTAATTAATTGAATAGCTAATATAATATAATTGTATATAATATGTTGCCCATAATTAGATTATACATAGGAAATAAAATAATTCCTAACATTTATCATGTATCTTGTTGAGCTTATTTGTGTGCGACGCGTTTGTGTTTTATTGACATCAATAATGCATTCCTACATGGCTTTCTAAAAGAAGAAGTGTACATGTATCCTCTTAATTGGCCTCATTTACTAGACATAATTGGGATATGCAGGGATTGGACAGAATAATCCTCCAACTTGCCACGTCAGTTGTTGTCTATCATTTACTAAACATTATAATAATTATCCTTATCTAAACTTCTATTTACAAAATATGATAAAGATGTTGTGAAAAAATTGAGATTACACTTATACCCTTACATCTAAAACAAACCGTATCATCCAAAATTTGACAGAAAAAAATTCGGGAAAACCAGACGGAGCTCGTGACCTAAAATCAGAGCGACCCTCCTGTTCGAAGCTTTCGTTGACCACCAGTTGAGGATGTTAGACGGTCATCGTCGATTCATCCATCCCGGCGTAGCATCTACGGTACGACCATATAACCGACGATTCGTCACCTTCAGTTAATTCGTAAGTGTTCGCAGAATAATTACCTTCAAGCGTCAGTGCGTCTTGTGGAGAAGAGATTCGAGATCTGTGGACCAAACCGATGAAATCAACACATGCGCGAGTATAGGTAGGTTAGAACAAATTCGATTAAACAAATTTTTTAACAAAAAAAAGAAGAAAAAAAGGGAAGGAAGAACGCCCAACTCAAGAACTAGGGCAAGAAGACGACGAGGGATTTGCAGATCTGTCCAATTTTAAGACACAATTTTGATTTTTATAATTCCTGCATCTGCAATTTGATTGACTTTGAGGGGTAGAAAAGACATTGTACAGTCTCTTTTTTGGACAAAATGGGAACAAAAAACTGGGGATAAAATATCTGGCCAAATTGGGCGGACAGAATAAACCGCACATGTCAGTTTAATGATGTCGGACCCACATGCCACATACTTGGCACATCAGCTATATCATTATCCCTAACCTACCTAGTAAATAAAAGATAAGGTTGGTTAACCAACCTTATCCAATCCCATCCCCCTTAGTAAACGAGCTATCTAAAGGCAAAACAGAATGAAGTGTATTTATTAAAATGAAGCCTCTGTGGACTTGAAACAGGCTTCAAGATAGTGGAATATAGAGTTTTCTGAAAAGCTCATAGCTTATGGTTTTGTTGAATCCCCTCATGACCATTGTATTTTCATTAAGACCACATCTGATAGTTTTATTGGTTTACTTATCTATGTGGATGATGTTTTGATTGTTGGGATGTCTTTGACAGAAATCACTCAACTGAAATCCTACTTGAATGACTTGTTCACTATCAAAGACAGGCAGAGCAAAATATTTCTTGGGTTGGAACTTTGCGGAACTGGAGCTGGCATTTCTCTCGAAGTATATCTTGGATGTCATCAGGGACTTGGGAATGGAAAATTGTAAACCAGTTGTTATTCCATTTTCCCAAGGATTGAACATTTCTGCTCAACAGTGTCAAGCATTTCCTTCATGAGTTTCTTACAGGAGACTTGTTGGTAAATTGCTCTATTTGAACCTCTCCAGGCCTGACATTTTATTTGCTATCCAACAACTCAGCCAATATGTTCAATCTCCTTCACAGACACATTGGAATGCAACTTTACATGTGCTCAAATATCTCAAAAGCAACTTTACGTTGAACCTTCTTTACAACTTGAGGCATTTTTAGATGCGGACTGGGGAACCTGTCATATTAGTAGACGATCACTTACTGGTTATTACATCTTCTTAGGCACATCCCTCATCTCTTGGAAGACCAAGAAGCAAAAGACGGTCTCACGTTCATCAGAAATATTTATTTATAAATTATTCTCCCGTGCTCACAAGAACTCTTGCAAAAAATAACCTGCGCTGTTGAATATGTTTCATTTATTTTATATAAATCGTTTTCAGCTGTTAATTTTCTTCCTATTTTGATCCACGACTTCTATCACTTGCAACATTTTCTGGAGCTGCGTTTTGCTTTGCTGCATTTTCCTTCAAGAGCCTAAATGCATTTTTTGCTCTTTTTGCAATAGGGAAGCTGCTCGTGTTCGCTACTCGTGACATGGTTTTGTGAGATTTCCCAACTCCAAACTTGCACTATAAATGGTGTGCTGATGGAGGTGATTTTTCCATTTTTTTTTTTCCTTTTCTTTGTCCATTTCCAAATTGTTCTTAAGCAGATTTTAATATAATCTTATGTCTGCACTTATCTCCTTGTGGTTACTTCTATCCATACATCAAGTTGCAGGTATTGATACGAGCAACATGTTACGAGGTCCCAGAAGTAAAGCTCGGAGTCCATTGTCCAATAGGAAAAGATAGGTTTATCCTGTATGTTGTGTATTTTTACTACTAATATGAGCTAAACTGGCATTTTGAAACTTGTAGAGGCTTTCAATTTCTAGCTTCGTATGTGATTCTTACAGTTGGGCCTATATACAATGTGGAAGAGAACCCTGAAGCCTCTTTGAGAACTGCTTACAAGTACATGTAGACGGACTTTCCTTGGGCCTTTTTGTTTAGCGGTTTAAGTTTAGTTATTGGTCGAAGCTCATCTTGCTTGATTGGACATGATGCAGAAACGGTTTACGCGTGGTTAATGAACACAACATTCATTTACTGCTATCTCATGTGGAGTTTATCATTTACTGAATTTTATGGTTGTTATTTCTTGCAGTAATTTATATTTATCCGTTCAAATAAATAGTATTCAATAATTATCAACTCAAATGAAATTTGTGTCTAATGCACAATGTCCTTATTTAATGATCAACTACATCCTTTTTGATAGTATTCTTTATACTGAAAAGAACTTTCCTTTTGTAATTAAATTACTAAAATCCTTTAGTACGCCTTTTTCTTTAGCATATTGCAATTGAGAAATTCATGTGTGACTATTGTGCAAAGTTTCAATGCTTGCTGTTTAACACAACCGGCTTCCAACGCATACATGTGACTACTGAGATGACATACTTGGTCATAAAGAAAAGATGGTATCTGGAAGTAAGAATTCAAATGCTAAATTACTTGATGTTGATGTTTGAATGAGGTTCAGTTGCTATATAAAATTGAATTATTATGTTTAGTTCATGGTCTATGATTGCAGGCATCCTTATGATGAAGTTGCAGCTTTGGCCTTATCTACGATCAAGGAATTTGCAGGGGCCTTCAAAGAGGTAATGTTTCTTTTGGACCACTTTTATCCGTTATATTTGAATCTACATTTTTTTGGAACCTTTGTGTTTTATTTTGAGTATTTTATGGAATGTCTTATGCGAGAAGGAATTTGAGAATGAAAGTAAGATTCACTTTATCTTTCATGTTGGATACTTTCAACTGAAAATTCCATTCTTGTGAGTAATTTTTTTAATAACTGAATTTCCGTGAAAAGCTTAAATTAGAAAAAAAAATATAACAATATCTGTGTATACCAAGGAAATAAATAGCTCGCTAAAGTTGCCGCTATTTGAGAAATAGCTTTTTTTGGCAGCGTGCCGCTATTTGTATTCATGTGCAATTTAGCCGCTAAATCCCGCTAAATCTCCGCTATAGTTCCGCTATAGCTACAGTGCCATAAACATTTTAGCCCGCTATTTAAAACCTTGGTGTATACTGTGGAGCTACATTTTTTCTGGGGAGATAGAATGCTATTTTGTGATCTCTTTTTCCCAAATTTCCCAAATTTTGTGCATTCAGGTGCATTTTGTTCTAATGAGAATTATGATGTTTTGTCGAGAAAGGCACGTGCATTGCTTTAAGAGCGACCAACCTGGCTAATATGATCAGTATGTAAATGCTGTCAAGAACTTACTGAATATCCCGGTGGCCGAGACTCCACGCACCAAAGCCTTGATTCAGAGAGAGTTGTTCCACCGACGATTTCATTGTACCTCATTTTTATGGAAATTCCTAATTTCACTGTCGGGGATATTTCAGGATAAGGCGAAGATATTGTACACTTTTTTAATAACATTAAAAGTCGTATAAAGATCGCGTTTTTCCGAAGCTAACCAGTCAATACTTTTCTATTAACATTAATAAGTGTATTGCATTTCCGTCACGAAACAATCGCGTAATGAATCACATTGTCGTTGCAAACCCGTTACTCGAACAGTCGATTCTGCATGAATACTACGAATACTATGTAAATCTTACATAAATTGGTATAAGATAACTTGAAATGTTACGTATCAGTATAAATCATAGTTTTGAGACTTGGACCGGCACGGCGTGTCGACCCGAAGCAGTAACTTGTCCGG